TACTTACTTTTTTATTGATGTGAACGATATTTTGATGATATTTGGTATTGTGATATTTAATGTCGTTCTTAATGTACTCCTTTTGTTAATATGTTGATCAAATAAATGATACTATTTATGTAGATATTTATACGATATTAATGGAATTCATAAAAGCAAACATTTATTTTGATGAAACACAATCCGTTTGCCAAACAATAACATTCATTTGGAGTGCGGTTGCCAAACCATTCTTCACTATCCAACCAATATATTATAATATCATCATGATATTTCTGACTTGAATACTTAACAAAATATTTATTACGTTTGCTACCGTTTCGAATCCTCTTATCCAAAAAGTTATTAACTGGATTGTTATTGTTGACTGAAGTTGAGATAAGCAAAGTACATTAATCGATCTTGCTCCATTCTCGAGTGTTGATCAAACGTTAATATACCTATATAGAAATTTATATGAATGCGGACCGTTTACATTTAAATTTGAGTAATACTTAGCATTAAATGATTAATACAACCATCATTAATTTACAAAACTATTAAAAATCAAATTCAAATGACAATACTGACTCTCATCAATAATTAATAGAACATTATCTAAAAAGTTGAAATACAAAAAAAAAAAAAAAAAAAGAACCTGTTCGCTGCCCACACATGAACTATATAAACCACAGATACCATATCGTCAACATAATTTCCATATATTTGCACCCAAAAAACAGCACCAAAACATCATGATTCCTTACAAAAGAACAAAAAAACAAACCACAAGTCTATTACAATTACCATCAGAAATTCTACAATAAATCATTGTAAAAGCAACCGACAAAGATGACACCGCTTTACAAGCAATATGGTTAACGTAAGTTTTACTGAAACCATCGTATTTCATTAATCTATTGATTTCATTATTTTCTTAGTCATTAAAAAAATGATATTATACAAAATGGTTAAACATACAACTAATAACAATAGGATAATGGTTTATTCTACATGAGTCTTATAATAATAATGGTTAACCATACAAATGATTGTGCCGAACCATGTGCATCTTTAGTTGTTAATAATTTTCTAATACACAAAAACCAAAATGTGTTTTAGAATCCATATTTAACTGAGTCATATTTGTCACACTTATTTATTCTTAATTGCTTAATCATAAGGTCATGGTATTCTGATTCCCAACTATGGATTTTTTTTTTTTAATTATTACGAATCTTGTGCTTCAAAACCATTGTTTACTGTACATTTTACAGGTGCAAGTCTCTGAGCAAACAATCAAACATAAAACAAATATTACAAAGAAGAGACATTTCAAAACAACAACACAAATTGCCAACAATAACAACAACGGGACTTTCAATTTTGAAGACACTTGCAAAAGCAGAAAATAAACAAGCTTTGCTGGTGTCAGGAACACATTTGTTCTTCATCGAACATCACATATGGGATTACAACTACTGATTGCAGTTTGCCAAAAATATAACATGCAAGCAATATATCACACTGTCGTTGCTTTGCTTACTATACATGACAATAGAGGTATACAAACTCTAATGAAATTAGTAAAACTACCTAATCATTTCTACAAACTGAAATATTGCATGGAAGAATTCAAGTCCCGAACTCCAACTACCACAATTCTCATTAAAAGATGAGTATTTGGGACTTGCAACAAGGAGAATCAAAATCGTATACACTGGGACATATCAATGTCACCAGAAAATATCACATGTCATAGATGTAACGTGGATTACCAAATAGTCTATATAAAATTTAATTTTTAGTAAGTTATGTAGTTTCTTACACATATAAAAATTTAAATGCTTTTTTAGTTTAATCTGAAAATAAGAGTTAAAACTCACTCAATTATCCACAATTAATCAAAATATTTAATAACTTATAAAGAAAAATTGATCACAAAATTACAATGAGCAATAAAACGTAAACAATATTTAATAAAAATATTAAACACCAATGATTATGAGAATTTTAGATAATTAACACGTTCGACAAACAACAATCTAAATACTGTTCCTATAACATATCAAAATAAATTTTCATTCTATTATTCATTAAATTAAATCCCACACCGAACCACAACATATTTTGGAAACCCGCATGCCTAACCATTGTTAACTATTTATTACGCTTTCCTTTCATGCGCTACAAACAGTTTACTACCGTTTTGTATTTCATCGCCCAATAAGTTTTCAACACTTTTTCAATCAACGTGTCTATCTTTTACTAAATGTCTATTAATTTTCCCGAAGCAACTTTTATATTGTAACAAAAATTCTCACATAAAACATGACTTCAAATTTATTCCGTCTGTTTATTTCCTATTTCTGTTTAGATAAAACAAGTCAATATATATTCTAATGTGAAGTAACAAAATTTTAATTACAAGACTAAAATACTGGATAAAACGTAAACAATATTTAATATTTTAATAGACATTTAATAACAATATTAGACAAAACTGTTCATAAAAATGTTAAAAAATAAAACATACTCAAAAAACATCAATCTAAATATATTATAATCTTAATTTTTTTTTAAAAAAAAAAACTATAAAAAACTATTTCTATTACTGATTTACAAAAACTTTTGTAGCATTATTGATCAAACAAGATCGAAGCCGAACTATATGCATATTTCATAACCATATTGCCGAACCACAATTAAGAAATTAATAAATATATTATGACATCATCATATCATCTCTGACTTGGATACTTAACAAAATATTTATTGCCCTTCCTTTAAAAACTTATCAATAAGATTTTATTATTACTAAATCACAATGTTTATTTATTATAATATCTCAACATCTTATCGAACCATCATTAACTACCTAACTAATATGTTGCACATTAACAAAATATTTATTACGGTTTTCTTTAATATTGTACAAATAGTCTACTAACGTTTCGTATTACCTTATCCAAACAATTATTAACATTTTTTTGATCGACACGTTTATTTATTACCCGTTGTTTGTTTAGATTCCACCTCTTCGTATCCTATCCTCCTATAAATATTGCTCTAACATCAATCATCCATTTAACTTTCTTCACATACTATACACTTTAATTGTTCGTTTCTTCTCCACAACTTAATTCAAAAATGGCTGACAAAACATCACAACCAAAAGAATTTGCAATGAATATCAGCAACGACCTCGACAATAATAATTCTCCACCGAGGCAACCAGAAGGTATAATCTACATATATTCATAAAAATTATTGTTTCCCTATATTTATAAAATTTGATTGTATATTATTTCTGTAATTGGTTTAGATATTTTTTAGGAAATGCCAGAATTGAGGGAGATTTTCAAAAAAGTTGACACCAATCTGGATTATCTACATACTGCTAGAGACAAATTCAGAGAAGTCATTGACCAGATGTTAGAAATCATGCAATCTACCATGGATATTATCTATAACATAAACAAAAGAGAGTACGCATATGCTCTAAAGGAACTGAACAACTATAAGAAGAATATAAAATAAACACTGTCAACATTGTCCAAACCCATTTCACAGTATCAAAAACCGATGTACTCATTTCTTTTATAATAAAAGTATTATTCTCTATATTCAACTTTATCTTGATTTTGATGTTACTCATAAATTGATTGAAAAGTGTTCCTTTAATTGACACATTGCATTTACTGTTTAATGAATTAAAGGAACACCAAAAATTCTCCATCTTGACACTTTGATTTTGATTTAATTCTTTCATCTTCACATATTGGATGAGTATTAATAATAATTATAGAAGTGCATTACATAGGCATTCAAAAAATCTAACCATTTAAAAAAAAAAAAATGTATAAAGATGGAAGTTAGTCTCTTCATATTCTGTTTTGTGGTTTTGCAATTATTAACCCAGAAATTAATTGAGTTATCGTGTTCTCAACTGTATAACAAACAAAGCCTTTGAATGAATTGTGTAAACAGAAATTTGTTTTCAAACCTTGACCGAAAAAAAAATTTAAGTTTAAATAATTAATCTTGATAATATTAATTGATATTAATAATTATGAAGGTACAATTATTAATTTTATCTTAACATAACTTTATACGTATATAGAATTTATATTTACTCTAAAACTTATATAATTTAACAATTATCATCTCTTAATCTAATTACTTTATTATGTTAGAATAAATTTATTTACAACATATTTCAAAAACATTAGATAAACATACCTGCACCTAACTAATGTGGTGGGAAATGGTCCAAACTGCAAACGCCCAACTAAATAAATCCAAGGAAACGACTACCACACAAGTCATATGATATGTATGTAAAAAGTCAAAAATTGCTCGTGACAAAAAACACAAAAAGGCTCCACTAAATTACTTTATAAATTAAAAAATATTTTCTATATATAATTTGATAATTGATACCACCCTTCGTGATTACCGTCAGCTAATTCTTTTCTCCCACTGTGACTGTTTCTCTCCTTAACTATAAGGGATGTTTGCTAAGCTTATAAGCTGATTTGATCAGCTTATAAGCTCTAAAATTAAGCTGATATATTTGTTTATAACTTTTTTGAGTTTATAAGCCAAAAAAATAAGTTGAGGAAAAATACTTTTTTTTTTTTTTGCTTATAAGCACTCTGTTTATAAATTAGTATGATCAAGTATATTACCACATTATCTTTGTTTAATTTTAAAATTCTATATTATACCCTTATTTAATGTAGTATATTTTTTAGTCATTTTATAATAAAATATACTTATAAACCACATTTTATCAAACACCTCAACTACTTATCAATCACTTATAAATATTTTAATCAAACTCATAATTGCTTAAAATTTTAAATGTTTATAAGCTAATTTTGGCCATGAAATAGGGATTAAGTGGAACAGAATTGACTGGGTGGTAGAGTTATGAAAACACCTGTTTCTTCCATATTTTGGACCTTAGCTCCATAGAACAATATGCTACTGCTGAAACATAGAAGAATTGAAATCTTAGATCAAAAACTATGTATGGACGGTATGAACTGCTTAAATAAGAATTCTTGGACAGCGAACCACTATTACTAACTACGTTAAAAAATTTCCATTAATAAAAGAGAAGCTTATTTTCATAAGCTCCGAGAAAGGGCACTAAGAACTGTTAAACACAAGACAAATAATTCAACAAATAATCTAAGTTTCAATGGAGGGTATAGAGCACAGAATAGTGAAGGTAAATGGCATAAACATGCACGTTGCAGAGAAAGGCAAAGGCCCAATAATTCTCTTCCTCCATGGCTTTCCTGAGCTTTGGTTCTCCTGGAGGCACCAGATCCTGGCCTTATCTTCCTTAGGGTACCGCTGTGTGGCTCCCGACCTCCGTGGGTTCGGCGACACCGAGGCGCCGCCTTCGCAGACCAGCTACACGTGTCTGCATGTGATTGGCGACCTGGTTATGCTGATCGATGGGATTGCCGGCAAGGATGAAAAAGTATTTGTGGTGGGACATGATTGGGGCGCTTACATGGCGTGGTACTTGTGCCTGTTCAGACCTGATAAAATCGCAGCTTTGTTTAACACAAGTGTGGTGTTTAAACCCTTTTCGGGGAACATAAGACCTCTTGATGGCTGCAGAGCTTTCTTTGGTGATGACTATTACATCTGCAGATTTCAGGTTCTGTTGCTGCATCCTTATATTTTTTTTTTTTTTTTTATATCAGAGGAATTCCTCAGTACAGTAGTATCACTAATTTTAATTCCCGAAATATCAGGATTTTGTTTAAAGAGAGAAATCTAGCATAAATGGCTTATGATTGGGTTATGATATTGTAGGAACCAGGAGAGATAGAAGGTGAGATTGCAGAGCATATTGGTGTAGAGAGATTTATAAAGGGATTCCTAACATATAGGATTCCAGGTCCAATTTATTTGCCTAAAGGGAAAGGATTTGGGCATTTACCTGACACTCCAATTGTCTTACCCCCTTGGTTGTCAGAGGAAGATGTCAAGTACTACACCACCAAATTTGAGAAGACGGGATTTACTGGAGGAGTTAACTATTACCGCAACTTGGACTTGTAAGTTTCTTTTGCAACTGTGATTCAGTATTAGACCAACTTCATTTTTATCCTGTAATCTTTTCTAATTTGGTTGCTGAGATATTATGAAATTTTAGATATGCAGCAGCAGATACCATTATGTTATTCGGGTTAATGTTTATACACTACTAGTACTTAGCATCACAAATGTCATGTGTCAGTATCATCAATGGAGGTTATATTAATGCAATAATGCCATCTTTAAGCTTTTGAGTCAAGTTTTTTTCTTTAAGTGGTATCAAAGCTAGAAATTTCAAGTTTGAACCCCTCATCCCATAATTTTCTATTGAATTCCTCAATCTTTATTCTCGGACAAGGACCATTTATCAAATCCTACATTACTAACAAAAAAGTATGAGATTCAATTATAAGGCTTGAGTTGTCTTATTTTTTTTTTTTGGATGAAGAACGCTTGCGTGAAGTTGAAAAGCAAAATTTGTGCGGGCTTTAATCCAAAACAAACAATGTCTATTCAGAACGTGAAGTCCATAAGAAGAGAGTTTGTCACATCTCACTTCGTTAGCGATTGAGTCTAAGATTCAATTTATAAGTTTTAGGGTTTTTAACTAAGTAGACACGATTTGGATGAAGAAGGCATGCATGAAACCCAAAATCACCCAAAAACAAACCTATACGGGCTTGGGTCTAAACCGAACAATATCTACTCATTTAAACCAAAGATTCAACACATCTTATCTATTCTCTCTCTCCAAATCTCTGTTTGTGGGCAAAGTCCACCTTGTCTATGTGGGTTGCTCTTTTTTCTTTGTTATATCAAATTTTGGTTTACTAGTTTTTCTGAAAATTGCAGGAACTGGGAACTCGTACAATGGTTGGGAGGTAAAGTAAATGTACCAGTGAAATTTGTGGTGGGGCAGGAGGACCTCTGCTATCATTTACCAGGAGTGAGAGAGTATATTCACAATGGTGGATTTAAGAAAGATGTTCCGTTGTTGGATGAGGTAGTTGTAATGGAAGGAGCTGCCCACTTCATTCAACAAGAAAAGCCTGAGGAGATTACCAAACACATTTATGACTACTTACAGAAATTCTGATTAGCCCTCCTGCTTTCTGGACTTTTATCTCAAATGTTATGTATGTCTATCACTGTTTTAGAACCCTGGATCGGACCGGTCAGTGCGATCGGCCCGACCAGGACCCAACAGCCTCTCTGGTTCGCTTCCAGTTTTAGGGAGGTTTTTACTATATTTCAAATTTATAGGGACTCATTGTAATTTTCTAAGGATGTTTTAAAATATGTCAAAACTTTAGGGATTAATTGGTAATTTTTTTGGTATTTTTAAAAATAAATAAAAATTTGAAGGACTAATTTAAAATTTTTAAGTGTATTTTTGTAATATACTAAAATTTAAGAGACTAATATATGATTTTTTAAAAATACATTTGTTGTTGATGTCACTAATCCAACCGATCAGTCCAACTGGTTGGACTGGTCAACCCGTGACCTGGTCACCTTATCAAGTCTCACACCACGTCGAGTTTTAAAACAGTGCTAAAACAATGATGTCTATGCTCTACTTCTATGCACTGTTTTAAAACTCGACCCGAGCCTTGACCCGATCAAGGGCTCAAGTCTCAGGTTGACCAGTCCAACCGGTTGGACCGGCGGGTTGGACCGATGACATCATTATAATGATGTCAGCTAAAATCCAAAACAACGCCGTTTCAAAGAGGGTATTATTGACTTTTTAAGACAAAAAAAACCTTAAATTCCTTATTTTTATTCATTTTTCCCATTTCTTTCTCTCTTATTCTACTGGCTCCCTTTCTTCTCTCCCTTGCATCTTTTTTCGATCTACCATGGCTACTGTTTGGACCTCAATGGTGTAGGCTTCGTGGCTGCTGGATCTATCTGCCATGGTGAAGGCTTCGTGATTGCTAGATCTATCCGCCACGGTGAAGGCTTCATGGCTACTAGATTTTCTTTTTCCCATTTCTTTTTTCTCTTCTTCTACTGTCTTGTTTCTTCTATCCTTTGCTTTTTTTTTTTTTTTTTTCCGATCTACGAGGGCTAGTTGGCTACTTGCACATCTTGCTGGCTTTTTGACATCTTTACCTAAGGTTTTCTCATAAATATTAACTAGGTTGCAATTTGTTGGTTGGACTGTTTGGTATTTATTGTAATCATTCTTTTCCATCCAACAATCCATGAATTTAAATTTTGAAACATTGGCTGTTAATATAAAATGTTGTGTTATGTTAATAAGTACTTAAATTATGATAAAAATTGAAGATGGGGAACTGGAAATTGAAAAAGGGAAAATTGCTTTTAGGAATTTTTGGTGACCCAGTTATGCCATCGGTCCGATTGAATCGGCGGTTTGTCACTATTCCACCAGTCTAAATCCGGTTTATTCCAGGTTAATTGTTAAAAGCAGGTTTAGAAGGTTTTCAGACCGGTGTTGATGCCAGCTCTCAGTTAAACTAGTTCGACCGGCCGGTCCGGTCCGGGTTTTAAAACAATACTTCTATGTCAATAAGGTATTATGGATATTAATTATGTTCACTTATAAGAAATACCCCGGAATCTACCTTATTAATGAAAGCTCAAAATACACTTGAGATTTGAACCACTGTTTTAAAACCCAAGCCGGACTGGCTGATTCAACTATGATTTGTATTGTTTAAGCTCAAAATACAGTTGAGATTTTAACTATAATTTGTATGAACACTTAACATGCTATCAAAATCAAAGGTCTAAAATTCAGATAAAAGAAAATAAAAATAAAAAATACTGAAAGCTCAAAGTACTGCTCAGATTGGGACTATGATTACAATGCACAAAACTGAGCAATTTCACAATTCACCTCTCCATCCATTTAAAAGAAAAAAAAAATTAAAAAAATACAGGACCATCCAGAATCTAGCACTTGTATACCAATCATCAACCATAAAATATCAAACTTTCAACAATTGTAAATTAAAATACAGCAGCAAATAATTCTCCAAATGTTGTTGGGAATTTGTTACACTCGAACAAAAAGGCAAACAAAAAACAATGCCTTGGTGCTACGGCAAAAAAATCAGAAGCCAGCCATAACAAAATCATACAACTCCAAATCCTAGTAATGCAAACTTATAATACATGATGATACTCAACAAATAATTACAATTAGTGAAACAGAATATGATGGAGGTCAGTTAGTTTCCTAAAGGAGATCTGTCATCCGGCCCAACAAGCGTGATCTGGCATTAAAGCATTGGAGATAAAAAGATATCTCAGTCGTGTTAAAATAAAAATTAACTCAAAAAAAGGATGAGAACAAAAATACAAGAACAGACTCAAAATCTAATAATCAGTGAAGAAGGGTTTCACTTTTATGTAAAAAAATTAAGAGAGAGATTGTAAACCTACATTGCAGTCAAATGCAAACCTCCTGGCAAGCATAACAGCTGCGTTTCTTTCTCTCTCAGATTCAAATGCCAAAACAAACGAAAGCCCTTTCTTTGCTTGCCAAAACAATGCCTGTGCTGCGGCATTTCCACCACCTCTAACTCCACATAGCTGAAGCACATGAAGACAATGTCAGGAATGAGAGACGTGGTTTGCATTCATGGACACCAAACACCAAGAACAGGTAAAATATCAACATGAGAATAGTTAAGAGTTATTAAACATAATTTTAAGCATGTGAAGGTATGCGAGTGTGAGAAGGGGGAAAATAAATTTCATGAAAATCTTAAGCTCCTTCTAATTCATATGATCGTATCTCCAGAAGGAAATGATAACAATGACGGATCAGGAGAAAAGGTCAAAATATTTTGAGATAATCTTGTCTCAATAAATTCAATTCTCTTACTCAAAACATGAAAATCTTTCTTTAAAATAAAATAAAATCTGTAATACCTGCATTGAATTGGAATAGTACTCTTTAGCAATTGTTATCTTTCCTTTACAAAGTTTCATCCTCATCTTTCCCACGTGTAGTACATGAATGGATTCTGATGGATGATCAACACCATTCATTTGGGTAACTACTACCTGTTAAAGATCAAAAGAAGAATATATATAACATTATAGGTTAAAGGAGATCATAAATTCATATACCCTACCGGTGCTAACATTAACACCTGATTTCCTAACAAAACCATGTCCTATATCTGGAAAAAGATGGAACTTTTATGCATTATATTGGTAAAAGAAAAGTTAAATACAACTTAAATTTCAGTTAATTTGTGTTAGTACGAAAAATATAATATATGACCAGTATTTTACTGTTTAATGTAAAAAGGGCAGCATTTATGACCAGCAAAACAAGCCATGATGCAGAAAGTGGTAATCTTCAGTGTCTAAACTTTGGGATTTCAATGGAGGCCTCGACTTAAAATACACCAGCTAAACACCAGCTAAAATAGCACAAGAATAATAAGGCAACCAAAAATCAATTCATCCTGAACATAACCCATGGCTAAGTTGATCACCAGAAGGGAAATGTAATATCACCATAGCGATCACCAAATGCTGGACAGTGTGCAATCAAAGAAAGAGTCCCAAAATGCAAACAAATGCAGAATTGCATCCTCAGATGGAACCTGAGTTATAGCTAGTATATGAGTGAAATTTCGAATAGATGGAGTAACATACATGGAATTCAACATCATGCTTCCTCACAAGTGCCTCCACATAACTTCCCAAACCAGCAGCTGTGTAGAAAAGTTAGATCAGCTGATGAATAAATTATTTATACATCAGAAAGTAATTACCAAATAATCCATTTTGATAACTGACAAAAGGTGAAAACCACAAAACTAAAAGAATCCAGGTTGAAAACAGGACCAAAACCACACCTGGATCAATGGCACTAGTGGTCGTCAACGTGATTTGCTGGCCATCACAAATTATTTCAACTTGTAGTATTCGGCCGACATCAAAAGGCTCTGGTGCATAAACTGATTTAGTGGCCCCTGAAATGGATAAAACTATGTCATTAACCTTGAGGAAAAGGTCCTTTTTAAGGAAGGTCATATAACTAGCAACACTATTCTAGCCACTTGAGTGCTAGTAACGTCTTGATTTTAGTAATCCTAATTTGACCATCCCACAACTCTGCAGACCCCTTTTCTCCTCTGAAAAAATAAATTTATTGCCTGTAGTAGTCACTTTTAATGACCAAAATAATACACATCTGAAATCTTAATCATTAATCTAAAATTCAAAATCACTAGGAATCCATTTATCCATTCTCAGTAGTCCTAGAAAACAAAAAGCAGCAAAACCATTGATCATATATATACCTGATATAAGCTCCTTTTTTCCACCTTCAGATGATACACGATACCATTGAATTGAACATCTGGAAAGTTCTAGAGTACCATCAGTGGTAGGTTTAATTCGCAAATATGAACCTAAAGCTTCAGAGCCATCTAATTCATATAAATCAGGTGTCCTTGCTTCGCCCTTCTTGCTCATTGCCAGCTGGAAACCATCATATGAAACCGAGGATTTCGAGGGAGTTAATGCAATGTCTCAACGTTTTAATGTGATAACATACATGAGTAATCAAGACTACAATTTTTTGTTTAAAGGAAAAAATCAAGGCAGAACAGAACAAAAAGAACGAAAACAAAACACCTTAAAGTAAGAAGCCTTTATCATGTTAGTTTGGCAAACCAATCACATTGAAAAATCACATGTTTCAGATTCAGGCACTATCATCTGGCTAACATTTTTCCTGTACATTCTTCCACAGAAAAAAAGTAACATACTAAGGAGTAGAAAAAATGGATGTCCACTAACATCAGAATCTTTCGTAGCATGCAATTGTAGTGATTCAAAGAATTTGTACAAATAAGTTGGCAGACAAATCACTTGATACATGCAGCAATTAAAATAAATTTTAGGTTTTCATCCCTGATACAAATATCTGAATATTCAAGACATAGAAAGGAGGAGCTAGCACAAGACAAGTCATCATCATCAAAATCTGCAATAAATTAATGTGAAATGATTGCCAAACCTCTTTTAGAAGCACAAGGGAACACTTAGACTTCTCTGCAAGCTGAATTCTCAATGCTCGAAGTTCATGTTCCATGTCCATAACCTACAGAATCAAGCACAATTCACTCTATCAACAAATGAATTTTCTGTCTACATGATTTATAAATTTAGAAAAACAATAACTGGGCAAAACAATATTATGCAACTATCTCCTAGTCCCAAGCTATGGATCCACCACATGGGACTGACTATAACTACCTTTATTACAGGACATCTAATTTTGTGAAGAATTCCAGGAAATGCAAAAATAAAAAGTCAGCATGCAAGGATTTCTAATGCCTACAAAGGAGGGGAAAAATAAAAAGAGTGATCTAATAAACACCTTGCTTGGCTGATGCAGCATTTTAATTCGTCTAGCCTCTTGAACTTCCTTCATTAACTCTTCCAAGTCCTGAAATCAGATGCAAAAGATTCTTTTTTACAAATAAGGATTAGAGATGAGTATGCCAAAATAATAATGAATTACAACTAAGTTGACAACTTTAAACACGAGAAACTTCTTAAGAAGACAGAACTCACAATTCTATTCATAATAGTCTAAAATCCAGGAAAAATAGTTTCTCAAGCATAAATGTTTTGCAATAAGGAGCTACACAATAATGAATGTATTTGCATTTACTACTTAATAAATTCAGTACACAGCTATGACAACTGGAAGTTTATAAATGCAAAAATGACACAAGCCTGCTTCTTTATTTTTAATTGTCTGGATATTCTTAATTAAACTAGTATTTGAGCCATGCAATTAATTTTTTTTTTTTTTCACAGGGCTATATACGCTTTTATTAGATTTTGTTCCACCCAAGATGTCGAGGTCTGTCCACACCATTTGCATGACTGATAGGTAGCACAACAAATAAGGTTTTTAAGGGCTAAGGTTTAACTTTCTTAAAATATTTAGGGTTTAAGTTTCAGGAGCCTTTTTCTTTTCTCTTGAATGATTTTAAGCTATTCTATTCTCTAATGAAAATTAGCCATCCCCTTCCTTTTTTCCCTAGTTCTGCAAGTGTCTGTCTATACTTCCTCCTTTTTCTACCTGTATCTTTAGGCAGAAAATCATCTGTTTTCTTCAGTTTCTTTCCTCTTCTCACCCTCATCTATTTCTATCTCCACTTGATCATTAGAAAGAGGAACCAACCTGCAACAGGCTGTCACATTATATCTTCTTCACTCACATCAGAACTGTACTCTCATGGCCATCAACTTTTCCACCTGTTTAAACCAATTCCACATCAAAATGTACCTTTTAATCAAGCCAGCAACCTGACCTGAAACCCTTGCCGATTAAACCAATTTTCACATTGATTTGTTCCATATTTGAGTTTCATGATTTCCTAGTTCAAGGGATGTTCAAACAGATTGCTGATCAAGGTCAAATGAGTTTATTGGGATATTTTATCCCACAAGTTTCTCAGTTACGAAAGTTGTAGGGCCTAAAAGTATGCCCATTGCTAGAGTTCAGTCAACATGTAGAGAAGGTCAATGGGATTTCCAGCTATCAAGAAAATTTCTTCAATTTCACATTTAATTTACTTTTGAAATAATTATATGATTAAGTGGTTGTTACAAATTGATTCCAAACTTCATTGGTTATTAGTTTTGAGTTTTCTCCCATAAATTTCTCCAATTTCACATTTAGAAGCCACTGAAACCTTATAGTCGTATTACCTGCTTCCCTGCAGCACGAGACATTCTTTCCTGCTCCTGAAGAGCTTCTTCCACCCTCTGAACTGCAGCTCTGGCACTCTCAATTTCAGCACGAGCAAAAGCTCTTTCCTCATCAACAAGTTTCTTAGCATCTTCTGAAGCCTACAAATTTGGCATCAGTTCTCATTTATGAGACAAGAACATATATGTAGTCAAGATAATTAACAATGACAAATACGTTAATAAGTAACATAATTCAAGAGAAAAATGATATGTAGACATCATTAAACTTGTATTAGGTATCTATAATTAAATCTAGTTTCCATCTTCATTCCCACTTAGCGAGTGCTCAATAATGAGCCAAAGAAGCAAGCAAAATAAGAAGGTACAAGTATATGTCTATGGATTTTAAGGCAGGACTAATACTTGCTATCCCCAGAAAGGTGTTCTTTCTAAAATCAACAATGAGTATATGATGAACCAAAAGAAAAATTAAAACCAAAGCCCATAAAGAAGATTATAAAATACAGCCTCCACACCTTAATTTGGTTCTTATTCCATAATGTCAGTCTACTTTGAAAAGTCATTTTGTAACTTTAAAAAACCGCACATAACCATATAACTGGAAGTCTCCTTTTTCAAACTTTGGGGCCAATAACAATAGGTTAAAGATGCATTAAATACATGTCTCCTTGAATGATCAGTTTTTTTTCTAAAAAAAAAAAAATATAACAAACATTAAGAGACAGAGAGTATATGGAAAGGCAGCTCCATAACAGCTGTCACTTGTATTACCTCTTTTCAACCAAATACAAATACTTCCTTCTTTTTAATACAAAAGAATAAAGGATTTTATCAGGTATCCACTGAAGGGATCAGAAAAGAATTGTCTGGGAAGTTTTCTGAAATTAAGGCCCACAGAAACTCTTAAGAAAGGCATTGTCCCACAACAAACTATAAATATTAAAAATCAAAATAGACACCACATGCATATTTCCATTGAAATTCAAAGTACCTGTTTAAGAAAATTTGCCAGCTTTTTCACTTCTGCTTTTTCTTGAATTAGCTCCCCTTCCCTTTGGGTCAACTGAACTGCTAAAGCTTCCACCTGGAGCAAATGACCAAAACATTGCTTAAATTTCAACATAAGCAGTATTATATGAGCCACAGGTCAAGAAAAATTGGGTCAGAATGAAAATTCTAGAGGAAAAGAAAATATATACAGCTTGGTAAATTAACAATTTCAATAATTTGGTAGTTGTTGGTGAGAGAATTTCTGTAAATCCTGTTTATTTCAAACATCACCAGACAATATAAAAAGTAAAATACATGAGCTCCACACTCCATCATCCCTTAAACAGTAACACAAAGCATTGTTGTAATTTAAAGGCAGAGGAATCCTATACATGCGCTCACTAGGGTGATTGACTTGACAACTCTGCCTTTGATGTTGAAGATTCTTTTGGAAAACACAAACTCCCTCCACATTATGTGAAGAAAAGGTAGAATATGGGTCTGGTACAGATTAACTAGAAGTAAGATTGTAAAATACACCCAAGACTCCCCTCCGTATTAATAGTTCTATTAAGTGTCAGAGATAGAAGAAATTTCCACACGTGAAAAATAACTGTATATCATATCCATTTGTAAGCTAGGGGTTGGGGATGAGAGGGAATAAAAGATGGAGACAAATTTTATTAAAAACTGGCAATTTTTTAGCACCCTAACGCATTTTGAAATTGATACTTTCTTTGATTTTCCACTAATAATACAACAAAACAGTTTCCCATGTGGCATTTAAGCATTAAATGGGCGAGTCCAACAAAGAAGAAAATCATATGAGACAGACCATAGCAATAGCTTCCTCTACATCATCTTTGTTTCTACCCGCCACACGTCCTTTCAATGATTCCAGGGCATCTCTAAGCTTCTTCAAAAGCACATGTTTCTCCAATGAAGCTGCCTCTCTGAGTCTAGCCTGCATTCCACAAATTACTAACTCATATTTTAATTACATAATTCATCCATTCTCTTTGAATATCCACAACCTTACTGCTTAGAGGCAACATAAAGAAAGAATCATCACTCATGTTAAACAAACAATGGGGAGTTCCAAATTATTGGAAAACTCCATTAATGCTCCCAACAAAAGGATGCCCGCAATTGGAAAGAACTTTTAAAAGCCTATCAAAAGTGTGCAAATTGGTTTTTGAAAAACAAAATGGAAGATTGAATTTTGCATTCTACATTGGGTTTTCATTTCACAAGAAAAGAGTGTGATCAAATGACACCAAACATAGCGTAAGATTTCTGTATTCTAGGAACTGCATCATCTAAAACACAAGGGCTACAACTGAGTTTAATTTTAGAGTTGAAATTAAGTTTTAAATATTCAATTACAGAACATAATTAGCTTTGATAAACTACATTATGTGAATTATCCCCAGATTTATGGGTACAAAAACGTACATAATCATAAAATCAAATTAAAATTAAACAATTGAAGTCCAATTCTGCATTCTATAGTTATACATGTAAGATCTTAAAACCCGTTAAGTTAAAACACATTAGAGTTAAATACAAAGAAAGAAAGAAAGAAAGAAAGAAAAGTGAAGAAATGAAGTAAACCTCTTCAGATAACTTAGCAGCAGCAGCCAAGCCCTTCTCGAATTTGCTAGCAAGGTCACGAACTGAGAGGCGTTTCTGCTGCTCCAGCAATTGAGCAGTTTCACGCGCAACAACCTCCTTCATTGAGAGAATTTTCGGATCATCTTTGCCGTCAACAATCTGATTATTAGCCCCAATTTTATAATTAGGAAAACGACTTGAAGCAAAAACGACGTCGGCTGATACAGCTGGGACTGCCTCTTTTTGCATTTTGTTACCAAAATCACGGCTCACTCTCGTCATTTTCGCTAACCAACTGCTCTCTGTTCGGTTCTGCTCTTCAACAAAAGTTAAAGTTAATAACAACGAAACGAACAAACCATTTATTTAATCATTACATAAATATGACTTTTAACCTAAAAGAAAAAAAACGTGGGTCACCATTTTACCAACCTTTACCACATCAACTAAGCAATCAATTTTAACAAACTACTCCCTGTTTGGTTGCCGAGAAAATCTGAGAAACTTTATCAAAACAAAACAAAACAAAAATTAAAAAATTTTCAGAAACCAAATACTCCCTGTTTGGTTAGCGAGAAAATGTAAGAAACTTCATCAAAACAAAAATACAAAAAAAAAAATTAAAATTTTTCAGAAACAAAAAAATCGAAAAACGGAAACACAAAAACTCAAAGCATATTACTATTACAAAAGTAAAGTAATTCTCATCTCTTTCTCTTCAATTTTCCCAGGAACCAAACAGAAAAACTTAAATCTAGCATCAGTTCTAACACAAAACACAACAAACAAAAGTGGAACAAAAAATCAACAGCAAGAACTGAGAATGAGTAAAGAGAACTAAAGAGAAACCCTAATTTGGAGAGGAAAGAAAAGAATGGAGACAAAAAGAGAAGTTAGACTTACAGATCATGAAAATGTAAAGTGGAAATTTTTAAGAGAATCTTGGATCAGATGAAAATTTAGAAGAAGATAGGGATTTGAATGGCAACTGAAGCAACAGATAATTTTACAAAAAAAAAATTAATTAATTTTGTGGAAGAAAATGAAAATGCGAAAAGCAAAAGGTGTGTGAATAAGTTTAAGTTTGGTTATTTGTGTGTTTGTTTACTTTTTAAAAGGAAAGCAAAGAAAAAGCCGCCCTTCAAACTTAAATTTTTTTTTTTTTTTTTTAAATTAAACTATACGTTAAACCTGTTTATCTAATTTATGCTTCTTTCTAATTAAAACTTCATGGCGGGTCCCGTGTTTTGTTCTTGAATTTTTTATTTTTCTACATTTCCGCCCTCGTGTGACCAATGACCATTTTATTAATAATAATTCTATTTAATGTCAAAAACATCTATGTTTAATATAATATTAAAAATTCATCTTATGTTAGTAAATAATTAAAAATTACATTATTATAAATGAATAAAACTTGTTCCATTTTGTCGTTTATTTTAATATATAATAATTATTGGTGGGATAATTTTTTATAATTAACTATTTTTGGATGATTGAGTGATTCGATAGTGACTCTTAGATATATTATTCAAGAGATCTTTTGAGTTCGAATCCTTTCTCAATTGTTAATAGGGATAATCACTAGAGCTTTTATTCAATCAGCAGTTTTAGAGTTCTGAAAAATTAGTTGATGTATGCATAAACTGACCTGAATTGTCGAACATCTCCTATCATAAAAATAAATAAATAAATAAAAGATTTTTTTATAATTCAGAAAGTTTAGAAGAACTTTTGTCAATCAATTCATATATAAAATATAACTTCAATAATTAGTAAGATTTTAATAAAATATAATTTTTCAAAATTACAAATCTTATGGGGAAGGGAGGTTTGTCAAGTAATTGAAAAATATTAGGACGATAAACGTGTCTTTGGGTTAGTTGAATTTATTTCAAACTAGTTCAATGGAACTAAAAAGAAAAATTGTGTAGTATAATTACTTATATAAATTATGAGTTAGATACTGAATCACACAGTCATGGCAAATGATTTGATTTGATTTTGTTGGATTTAATAATTATTTAATTATGTAGAATATAAATTTTAAAATTGCAATTGCATATAGAGTGATTGTTGTAAATAATTTAATTAATATAAAATTGAATAATGACTTGAGTTTGTGATAAAAAAACAATTCATAAAAACTTAAATAGTATTCAAAGACTAATTCATAAAAATTTAAATAATATTCAAAGACTTAGAAGATAACTATAGGATAACTCGGCTTACTTTTGTCCGTAGCTCGCTTGCATATAACTGTTGTCTCATAGGTCACTCCGAACTACAACTATCTCCAAGTTTTCGCTTGTTCCGAGTTGTCCACATATTCTGGCACAACAAATGCTTTAGAGAATTCTTTAGAATTTTATACAAGAAGAAAATAATAGTAATAATTTTAAAAGTAAAACATAATAATAATATTAAATAAATAAATAAATAAAAGGATGGATTGGACGGTTGTTCAGTTGGACATGCGTTGCTTGTTTTGTAGTTGACAGTTGACTTAAGAAGCCGGCCATATCATATCAATACCCGTAGCTTTCTTTTTTGATATGTTAATGCCTCCAACAGCGACTCAAATCTCAGGCATGCTGACGGTGAAACGAAGAGAGGGCATAAGTTGTTTACTTCAATTCTATTACTTCTTAGTACCTTTACGGCTTTACCCTCATTCAAAGAGCAGTCCTTCCTTCTTTAACCAACTCACTTTATGCCTTTTCATTTAGTTTAATTTAAATAATTAATTCAACGGTTTACAAATTGTTGAATCGGCATTAAAAATAATTACAATCAATAATTTGTATTTTAAATTTGTAATTAAAAAATAAAAAATTCATTACTGTTAAATAATTTAGTCTACTTCAAAGAATCGTCCTTCATTCTTTCCCAACTCACCTTCACATTCAATTTGTATATAACTTTTCTATATGTATATATACATAAATTTAAGGAGTTGTTAAGTCAATTTGCAAATTAGATACCCAAATATCAGCGGACTAAAAAAAAAGGTAATTAGTAATTGCTTTCTCAATTGAAATAAAAAACAAATAAAGCTTGTAATAAAGTTTTGAAAGAACTAGTTTGATAGGCTTGTAACTATTAATGGAAGTGATCCATATTGAAAGACATTACCTACCAATACCATATATATAAAATAAAATATCAATTATTAAAAGTGTACGGGTTATATAAATAGTCCAAAAATTAGGTCGTAATTGAAATAAAAGCAATAACTGAGCTTGAACCAGCATATATTATTTCCCACATTACACTACACTTAGTTTATACTTATACCTTGTAAAAGATATATTTTTTTTTTTTATTGGGATGTTCAACCAGCTTATACACACCTCAATTAGTTTCTCGACCCTGAATAAGGCCTCCAAAACAAGGTAAATCCTACAGTCCCTGATCAACAATATTAACAACCGTTATTGTGATTCGAACTTGAAACCACAAGTGGAGTAAACCCTTTAGTCTCGAGCCTTTACCACTCGGGCAACCTATTGTTAGTTTTGTAAAAGAATTTCATAAATTTTGGAATTTATTATTTAATTTCCCCCAGGTATCATTAAATAGCAAACTCCCCTTTATAAAATTGAATTTCCCGAAGGTATCATTATATAATTTTTTTTTTTTTTTTTTTTTTTTTTTTAAGTTTTGGGCAATGCCAAATTTATTTTGGACAAATATTTATTAAATAATAGAAAGATACATTATAAAATTGAAGATTGAAACGGCCCCCAACATATGTTTACTTTTTCATTCTTGTTCGATTGTGAGATTAATTTTAACTACTGAAGATAAAACCNTAAGAGTCACACACGGGGACAAACAGTTAGAGGGTTTTACTTACTGAGCATTATTTGTGCTCACCCCGTTATTTTCCTTTGTGGATGCAGGTTCTAGGTGTTGATGCGGTTGGAGGGGCGTCGGCGAGCGAGGAGCAATTGCTACACTGTTCCCTTGTTTCGTCTTTTAAAATACATTTTGTAAACAGTACCCTTTATGTATAAAAGACACATGAATTGTAATGAAAAGAAAACTTTGGGCCCAATTTTCTATTGTTATTATGCATGCATTGTACTAGTTTTCAGCAGATGTTACAGGTGGGAGGCCACGAACTCTTCAAAGACTTTGGCAAGTTGGCACTCCAAAAGGGTTAACACTACCAACTGCAGGTGCTCCAAAAGTTGACCCATAAAGTCCAACACCGATGTGCTAGCCCCTGAAGCAGAGGGCATCTTGCCAGCCAGCCCTTTGCCTTCTTTCTTCCCGAGAGTCGCAGTCTCCCCTTGTCCTCTGCACAGACGGCTCGAGACCAATGTAACCCCGATCGCGTGCCTCAAGCTCCCTCCCGAGCAAAAAGCCTGATAAGGCTACGACCTCCCAAGCTGCACCCGCAAGCCCTCCGGCTCAGACTCTGACTCTGACTCCTCGGGTTGTAACACCTTTCTTTTCTTGGACTTTTGGTCAATGGTCTTCTGCTTTTGGTGAACAGCTATAGGCTGAGAAGGTTTTGCTGGTTGTTCGGTGGGTGGCTGTGCCCCCACCTGCGCTCCTCTGATGAGGGTGTCGTTATGGCCCGCCTTGGCTGGTTCCGTGGCGCCTACCCAAGGAAAAACGAACCCTCTCTCTCTCAACAACCTCGACACTTTGGGTGGCATATTCGCTGCATGCAGGTACTGTTAGTAAAAAAGTTCGCTACATGCAAAAGCAAAAATTTTCTAAGACTTTGGACACTTACAAGTTAAGGTTTCCAAGGTCGCTTCCGAATTGAAGAAGCCGTACTTCCTCAAATTTGCAATTGCTACGATTAGTTTCACGTCGCAACAATAATCTAGTAGGTTACCGAATAATACTATTCGGTTGAAGTTAGTTAGATCTCAACCTGGTCAACTTGTTTCCTGTGAAGAGACAAGAAAGATCGTTAGAAAGCAAAGCCAAAAAGAAAAGAAAATAAAAAATTCACTAAGTACAAGAAGGGAAGACCTACTCGGTTCCTTGAATTGGCAGACTCCCCGACATTATTAGGGTAATTAAAGATGCCTCCCTTGATCGCAGATTGCTTCGAGAGGTAATAAGAATCCTTATCCTTGCTCTTCTTCAAGTAATACGAGCAAGCAAGCTCCAGCGTAGTCAGCTAGCCGAGGCCGTTCTCGAAGCACGTGATATACATAGCCACGACTATCATTTATGCATTTGGCATCAGTTGTAGAGGTGCAACCTCGAAGTAATCGAGGATCGACCTGATAAAGGGGTGGAAAGGAATTAATGCCCCGCACTTGAAAATGGACTCAAAGACTGCAGCCATTCCCTCTAAGGGATTTCAAGCTATGTACGACCTATACCGGAATACGTCTACGCTAAGTGCGTACTGGTCTACCACCTTCTCCATCTCCTCCGGGGTGGGCACTGATAGAATCTCCTGCAAAGAACCCACTGGGGCGTCTTGTGCCTGTGAGCTCGTCCCCTCATTTGTTCTAGTTGATGTAGGGTCCATCTCTTCTACGGTCTAAAAAAGGGGGACACACAGAGATTACTCAGTGTCCGTATAGAATTTTGTACGATGATGTGGAAGAACAAAAAATCCTTAGGGACCACCCCCAATGGTTCGTACCCTAAAAACCTATTCCTTACAAAAGACTAGCCATAAACACCCACCATTATCGCCTAAATAAGCTACATTTGAAGCAAAAAAAAAAAAAAAGATAAGTAACGGAAGGATCTTCCTTACCTCTTGGCTATGGAGGGTGAACTTCTTACTATGAACGGAAAGTGCACACCAACTTGAAGGATTGAAAATCTGGTCTCGGGAGAGCTTTTTCCTTTTTCTGAAAGTATGAGTGTTGTGACATTGCTTAAGGTGAGCTTGGGCTTTTATGGTGGAGGAAATGGCGATTGGTCTTCTCGAAGCCAAGCGACGTTTGGGCGGAATGCATTTCTCATCATTAATCACGACCACGTGTCATCAGTCGACTAGAAGGAGTACCTGCCATACTTCGAGAAATTCAATCATCGTTTCTCTCTGCTGAAATAATCGAGCGACGGCTCAATTCTCTCCTCCATATTAAATGCGCTCTCATTCGCATTTAATGCCCTAATAAAGAATGTCGTTTCAGCATGGCTTGCATTTAATGTGCAAGGCTAGCACTTATTGCGGAAAGGACACGTTTGTCAGAATAAAAGATACTTCATTAATGGATTAGCTGTCAAGCGCAGCTGATAACATCTGAAGAGGTTGTTGGAATAGAATACTCTTCGTCATATGTCGGTTGCGCAGTGATGTGATTCCTTGCCTCCAGCAGAAATATGCTAAGTGTAATCAGGTCGCAGACCTCGGTTAAGATAAGAGGCGCATCGATACGGCACTGAATAGGGTCTAATCTAGGTCTTCGACTTCGCTGAAGAAGACCATCTCAGGTCGCTCGTAGAAAAATGTTCTACGACCTCTTTGTAGTCAGATCGGCTCGACCAGGCGTCATTTGGGATATGTCAAATCATGGCATAATTATGAAGTTCTCAAGGTTCGATCCTTAAACCTTAAAAACTCAGGGACTTCTTTTATGCCTGAAAAGGTAGGGCTAACGTGGAGCCTCCTCAGTAAAGGATGGTCAAAGCTTAGAAGGGTTCTGTGCCGTCCAGGTGCGGCCACGTCGCGCCTAGCGCAAGTGGCATGGCTCCTGTCAGCACTGTAGGTGAGTGCCAGGCCAGCAAGCGGCTGGAGATCGCCCACGTGTCAAAGCCCTGCTTTAGTCGAGGAAATCCCTCGGGTAGGTGACCAGTGGGATGCAAAGAAATGATTTGCATGGCACCTACCCACTTGCAGCTTTTATAATCATTACGTTGAACTCTCTCACTATAAATAGAGAACTTCCCTCTCATTTGGGGGGGATTGGCTAGTTTTACACTGAAATAGCTTACTCTCTGACTCTCCTTTTGTATTCTCTCTAAACTGTAGTTCAGCTCGCTGAACTCGACCTGACCTTTACTCTTTTATTAATACAATATCAGTGGATGTAGGATTCAATTTTGAGCATCTGAACCACTTTAAACATTGTTTCTCACCTATTATTTAACTTAATACCCCCATATCACGTGTGACTTCTAAGTCCGTTTAGCATTTTACACATGCGAGTAGTTGGTATCAAAATCCAGCATCAACAATCCTTGTCGTCTTCAAATCTCTTTTGAATTTCTTTAAATAATTATCTCAAGTTTGTCTTTGATTAATTATTATCGTACTCTCTTTATTTAATATGTAAATGATTTGTTTTCATTGTTTGAATTAAAATTTTCTACTATTGCTTATAATTATCAGGAAGAACGCTGATCTTTATCTTTTGGCTACAGTGGCTCAGGTACATTTGACAGTTTATATCATATATCACCTATTTCGAGTTTCGGGAATCAAGGCTTTAATGACTCTGTATTTGTTGTTATCAATGTGCATACAATTCTGCTAAGTCGAAGAACAAGTTTCACTTGTGGGGTAGTCATTGGAGACATGAAGACTCCTTGCTCTTTGCTCAATAACTAGGGACATTGGAGACATGAAGACTCCTTGCTCTTTGCTCAATAACTAGGGAGGGGTACTGGAGCTGCTGCTAGGGAGAGGTACTGCTGTGAAAAGTAAAACTTGTTTTGGAGCTGCTGCTAGGGAGAGGTACTGCTGTGAAAAGTAAAACTTGTTTTGGAGCTGTTGTTAGGGAGAGGTTTACTGCTGTGAATACTTAAGTTTGAGCTTTTATTGTTTTCTATCCACTGGTTAGATGTGATAAATAGCAAATTTAATTGATTTTTCTTTGTTGTCGGAAACATTTGATAGGATAACTCGAGCTTCCGTGGAAGGACAAAAGATTGTGAAAAAGTTTTTGAAGATCTAGAAAGCAAAGGAAAAGCAAGCTTCAAGGAACTAGAAAGTAGGATGGGGAAAGCAAAACTTTTTGGATTTTAACAAATGAATGAAAAACTGTCTTATAAGAACATCACCTGAAATGCTTTTGCTTTTTTTTTTTAATTGAATTCCCTATTTTTATTAGGTTTGAATTAACAAAATTTCTTAAACATATATACACTGTAATTTTGCAACCTGGATTCTTATTTAAGCAAATCAGTTGCTAACACTTAGTTTTCTTGGGTTTAAATTGACAAAATTTCTTAAATATAGATGCTAGTTTAGGTTGCAGCAAATACAGGGACAACATGATAATTTTAAAGCTTTCAAATTTTAAAAGTAATTTCATTGATTTAAAACTTTATTTTAATAAAAAAAAACTGGAGGAATTAATTGGTAATTTAAATTCCTATATATAATTGAGGATATATCAGTAATTTCATATGTATAAGTAATTGAATTTGTTGACCGGATATAAAATAATAAAAAAATTGTTAAGTCAAATAATAAACAGTATCTTTGTTTTAATAATAAATATACACAATAGTTAACGAAATTTACCAGTGAATCTAGCCGGTTAGTGGGAAAGTGTCGCATACCTTGGGTGGGAAGAAGTGGTTTACTGGGGAAAAATATTTAGAAAGTGGAGGAAAAGGACATGCACTACTGAAAAGTATTAATGGAGGTAACCATTCATCAAGTATTACGTAATTAGATAACCGATAACTTTCTTTAACGAAACCAAAACAAAAACTTTATTGAAATTTGAAACCACCGAACAACGTAACAAGAACCAAACAAAAGTCAAAAACTACCCAAATGCCACCAAACAACGTAACTTTATTGAAACCAGCTAACTTCTTATGCATGCAGTGCACCGCCATTATTTTCACATGATTCTGCAAGCTGCATTAGGATTCTCTTCGCAAAAGTAATCACGTCTATTAACTCTGTAACAATCGTCACCGCCACCCCAGCTATCATACTCCGGCTTCCCGTAATATCCGCAATTACATCTCGGCGGTCCATAGTAACCTAGCTGGTACGATGGCCCCCCTCTACGCCCCTTGTAGCATTCCCTGCAGCACATTCCAACCGGGTTCGGATAAGCCGGTGGTGGGAAGCCCGGTGCCGGTTTTGGCTGTGAGTCAACAAAAGTAACCATAAGCTTCTCTTGTTTTGGCGGCTCTGCTTTCGCTTGTCCTGGTGGTTGCTGGGTGGTCGTGGTTATGGGTGGTGCGGGTTCTGCTTGGATTGGTTCCTGTTTCTGTGGTGGCTTTGCATCAGGTTTTTTAGGTTCGTCAAGCTTGGGTGGAGGTGGAGGTGGAGGTGGAGGTACAATTTCAATACTCTTAATGGATTCACCACCTTTGCAGCGAATCTTTTGCTTCATCTTCTCAGGACTACAACACACCACTTTGATCGTCACTGTGTTCTGCTTCTCGTCAAATACCTGGTCTTGTATTTCTGATCTCGTTTACAAAAATCAAACATTCCTTCTACGTTAAACACATACTTCAAATTCATTAACAAAGAGAATTGATGAACAGAATTAAAGATACTCACGAGGGAATTTACACAGCACTTTCTTCACTTTCCTGTAGCACTTCTCACACTGAAGGTCAACCTTCAACACCATTATCGTGACTTTCTGCAACATTAAACAATCAATATATATATATATTAACCAACAGATAAATGAGATGGACATGGTTAAATTATAAGAAAGATAAGATTTTGCAAACCTTCTCCCCCATGGCTGGCTGGTAGGGTTGCTCAGATCTGAGTCTGAACCTCGTTCTCAGAATATTATTGAGTCGAGTTTGATTGATTAAAGTGATGAGGAAGAGAATGATAAGTGAGAGTGAGAGAGAGAGAGAGATTGATATTGACGCTGAATTTCATACTCTAATCAAGATTGTCCACTAGCTTCTTCCATTTCTGGCTGCTGACCCTACAAAGAAAATATTGAACTGTTAAAATAATGATATACTGTTTCGTAAAGAAGAAAGCAAGAGGAAAAATTGTTGCAGCATCTGCTCTTGATAGCATTTTCGTATAAATAAATAGTATTTTTATTAAATTTAAAATATAAAAAATATAATTTTTATTTAAATTTTTTAAATTTAATGAAGACACTTTCTATTTTTTTTTAAAACCTAATAAAAAAAATTAATAAATAAAATACATAAAACTTATAATTTATTAATTAAAATTACGATAAAGAGTAAAATTTGACTCTCTAAATATAAAGAGTTAAACTCATTCTCTAATTTATAATTTAAAGATAAAAAGTCTATTAGACTCTTATTTTTGTGGATAAATTTTTTATAATAAAAAGTTTAAATTATACAAAAAAATTATTTGTAGATGCTCTTATGACATGTTATATCCAATATCCTCTTCTTATAAAATTTCTCATACAACTCTCTCACATAATAATTCTTAATTAATTGACCATTTTCCAATGGAACTCAATTGATAACTAATTACAAACTATTATATAAAATTATAAAAAAAAATTATGAGTGTGACATTATTTGTTTTTATACAATAAACAAGGCGGCTAAGAATCCTGCCAGCTCAGCTAACACACTAACAAAAAATATTAATTGTCTCTACAGGCTCTTCACATATTCGGCTTTGCATGATTGACGCAGCCCACCATATTAATTAATTAAAATTAATAATAATAATCATGAAATTTTTTCTTGGTGTACCCAACTCCCAAGGCCACAATTGCCAACCGTATACATGTCCCGAGGCCTGGTGATATAGATCAAGAACAAAATGACAAGGCAACAGAGTGTCGGTGTAGAAATTTAGATAGGTCATTGATTATATAGTGATCTCGAAAGTGATTTTCAACTTTGTAATCTATCAAAAAAAGTTAAAAACCACCCGCTTTGATGCTATTAACGTGAGCCCTTTTTTGCTAAAATGAACCCATCTTCTACCAAAGAAAGTGTAGACACATTTTAGTGTGCTAACGTGCGTCACGTTACAGTAAAAAGTTAAGAATCTATTAAAATAAAAAAAATAAAAACAGCGTTACTATAAGGATGGAAATCTAGAATAAATACAATCAAATGTATCAATTTGAAATTTCGCTAAATCTCGAGTGAGAATATACCGTTCTATGGATCAAGAACAAAATAACAAGACAACAGAGTGTTGGTGTAGGAATTTAGATGGATCATTCATTATATAATTAATAGCCAAACCCACTAGTTTAATTGTAGAATATATATATATATAATTCACATAATTCATGATAGAATATGTAAAGAATAATACTAGCTTTACAAAGAGACGAATCCAACCCTTTATTTGTATGCCTCATTGTAAGGTTAGTATTACCCATATGTAAATGAAGTTGATTTAATTTGATTAAATTAGGTAAAAGTTTGGAAGGTGTGGGCATTTGGTTGGTAGTTGGTACTACCTGTGGTGTTCAAAATCGGGTACCCAAACCGGTTTTGCATTTGGCTGACCTGAATCGAATATTCGGGTCATGCTCTAACGGTATCTGGTAACCGAATCGGTTTTTGAATTACCAGGTTATGAACCAAATTTTTGGTTCGGTTACCGAGTACCCGAATTTTGAACTGAATTTGCAGCTTCAACTTTTACATTGTAGAATTTCTTCCAGACTTCCTCAATTTTTAATTTAAGTAGATAAGAAACGATATCTTAATGTGGCAATCAATAATACAGGCATTTGTAGTTCTGCACCAAAAATGATATCTTATCGTGGCATTTGCACCAAAAATGATACCCAATTTCTCAATTCTCAGGACAAGAGATCTAAACCTGTAGAAATACTTTCTAAGTTTCAAAGAGCACTTCTTCTTCTTCTTCAGTCTAATGCAAAATAGAGTTACAGAAATGAAGTAAATCCCGCTGATATAAAGCTCAAAATTACGATGAAGTTCCGTCAAAGTAAACAGCCAAACATTTGAACCTCTTACTTTCAACTAAGCAAACAGCCGATGATATAAAGTAGTTACCTTAGCGAATAGCGACTGAAGAAGGTGGACTGAGGTAGTGAGGTGGGGAGATAATCCGCCGGCTGGAGCGAGAACAACAGAAGATTGTGAAAAGAAGAACTGGAGAAGTTGAGATTCGAGAAGGAGAAGATGAGATTTGATTGGTTTAGAACTTAGATTTTTAGGCTTAATTGATTTGGGATTTTTGTCTTTAAGAAATAATATTTTAGGTTTTTTAATTGAGTAATGCTCCCGTTATTGAAAAATATATACCGAATTTATGCACTGACAAATATGACACCATCTTTATTTTTTTTTTTAAATTCATAATTAATCAACGGTTATGATGGTACCACATTTGTCAGTGCATAAATTCGATATCCATTTTTTCAGTAACTGTATAATTTTCCTTTTTAATTTTTTATTTAAACCAATTTGGTTCAGGCACCTAGTTCATTTTTAAAATTGAACCGGTACTGAACCAAAGATTCAAGTACCTCTTATAATACTACCTGGATCTAGAGCCGGTCCCAAATGCCCAGCTCCAAAACCCGATCCAAAACGGGACCAGGCCTAAGGAGGAGGGCCCGAGCTTTCCACTGGGCCCTCCTCCAAGGCCCGGGCCTGGGACCAAAAAATTTTATATTTTTTTAATATAGTCCCCTGTCAAATTGCGTTAAACCCCTTGTTAATTTTAAAATAAATATAAATTATGAGGGCTAAAAAAAATTTTACAAAATTTATAAAAAAAAATCTTCCAAGTCTAAAAAATTTATAAATTTTACCCCTAAAAAATACTAAACCCCCTATAAAATTTTGTTTTGCCCCCAAAATATAAAAAAAAAAAATTTGAGGGGGGAAAAAAAATTATCCAAGCCCCATGGGACCGGTCCTGGGCCCATGGGACCAATACCGACCAGGCCTAAGGCCTGGTCCAGGTCCTCATTTTTCTCATAGGCCTAGGACCGATCCTAGGCCCATGAGTGATTGGTCCCGCAAGGGACCGGTCCCTGCCCACCTCTACCTGGATCCAAATCGAATATCCAGATACCGAATTTTTCAGTTCGGATTGATTAGGTAGCGTGTAATTTTGAGCAGCCCTAGACACAAAAAGATGAAAATGGCAATTATATCTCTTGGTCGTTAGGTAGATTTTGCTATCTATTCAATGAATTCATCAATCAAAAGTTAAGAAGTTAATGGACTTTCCCTCTTCTTCTAGTCTTACTTGATTTAGATTTGTGAACAAAAATAAATTGAACATTTAATTTGATCCAATTCCATAAATATGCACTTGAGAATTGTATGTGAAGTTGTGAACTTCTAAATTGGTCTGACCTGAGTAGCATGGAGCACATGGAATTCCGTGTGAAAGAGAAATCTTGGTCCTGTTCTCAATCTCAGCGACTAAAAAAAGGATTGATCAAATTCTATTGAAAAAGCAGTGGTACAAACAGTGGTGTTGCTGAGATCCATCTAGTCGAGATAAATTTGAAATTCCATTACATTTCGAAAAATTATACTGATAGTGAATGACTGATTTTTCTCAATCTTTTCGACCTTGGTTCCTGTAGGCGCTAAAATTCATAACGGGCCTTGTCAGGCCCAAACACAAAGCAAACGCCGAATGGCCCAGTGCCATGGGCCAACTCTGATTGAGCCCACTTCATAAATTGGGTTACTTAAAAAATGGACGATTCAATATTTAAGGTCATTCTACGATGTGAGCCTTGTTACAAGCCCATTTGGACTCAAGCCCACCAGCCCATGGCTGCTCCCGAGACCCAGAGTCCTATCAATATCCTAATTCATCTATTGCCTCCATCTTTATCCTAATCCTTCCAAGGGTTTCATCTATATCCTAATTCATCTAAGATCTTGAATCTTACATGAATTAGGACTTTTACTCTTACAAATGCAAGTAAATAAGGACTTTTCTATTTACTCAAACTCCGCCATTATGAACTTAAAGTTCTATTAGGATTCAAGTATTTAAGCTCACCATATAAACAAAGGTCATGCCTAGACCCGACAAAACGGGCATGTGGGCTGGGTATGGGACGGGTGGGTGCGCGTCCTAGGGGTACAGGCCCTAAATGGGTCTAAAATATTGGAACCATATCGTACCTTATGCAGGTGGACTCGTGTGTGACCGCACTGTTGACTCAAGTTTTAAATTCTTACAGTCACACCCTTTCCATCAACATACAACCAACACACAAATCGAACTTCTCTGACAATCCTCACTATCAATTAACTAAGCTTAAAATCCCAAAAACAAATAATTCTTTTAATTTAATTCATTTTAACAAAACAAGAAGAGAAATAAAAAAAAAATGTCGTGCCAAAGCACTGCATATGTTTCTGCAATTTTTCAGCCATTTTGGCATTTTCAACCATAACCATTAGTTCATCTTTTATCAAAACCACATGCACTGATGCTTCCATAAGTCCATAAACCCAGACATAGTACACACAAAATACACCGAAGTAAAACTAATGAAATTCACACCCACTGGCAGATTCACTTATGCTTCTGATCAGGAAAAAGAAAAAATTCACAGCCATAGCCAAATTCAAAGGAAAGAAAACCTTGGAGAAATTCCACGCAGATATCAAATCAACACCCTTGGTCAGATTCAATTCCACATTAAATCACAAAAAAAAAAAAAAAAAAAGGGGTCATGAACACGTAGAGAAGAGTGAGAGGGCTATTTACAAAACTATTCCCCTCAATCAAACATGATGATGGGAACGAAAAAGAATAACAATAAATTAACCTTTGCCTTTTCATTATACAATGGACAATTCCCCTCCAAAGCCACCAGACCAGCCATGCTCTTTCTATCACCGTAGTCGCTTCTTCTGCCTTCTCCAGCAGAACATATCTTGAGGCATTAAAAAGAG